CTTCTCTGGACTGATACTATGGATATACCTCTTAGTTAGTAGCAAGCACAGATTCTGCTATTAAGCCTAAAAGACAGAGGGAAGGCACTGGCTGTGAGTAAGATGCTGCACGTCTTATTAGCGTCCTTTTTTTTCTTGCCATATGATTTGATTTTCAAGTTAATGCTTTTCTTACTCTCTTTGATAAGACTTCTTCAGCTGTTGAGTATAATTAATTCTCTATCTATAAAATTATGTAAAATATAATTAATAGTTTGACTTAAAATGCAGAGGAGGAGAGTAGACTTATTTTTACTATGGGGAAAAATAGGCAGCTAATTTTGTGGCTTTTCAACTGCATGTAAATTACACATGGTACTGAGATGCTACTTTTTTTGGCAATGTGTTTTAGATGCAAAAGCAATAATAAAAGAGAGCGCTATCTGATTAAAAAGAATAAACTCAGTAGTTTTGACAGTTTTATTAATTCTTCCTGGCTGTGCCTGCTCTGGAGCCTCAACTTTAGCCTAAATAATTTACTTCATGCGTGGAGGGAGCTGTTGGAATGGCCCTGGGAAGTTCGGTGATTAAAATGGAAATTGAGAACATAATGGCAGAGGAATGTTAACTTTCATTAAGTCAACAAATTCCATTGCTTGTTTTCAAAGTCACAGTAAAAAATACGCATATTTAAATACCATGCAGTAGGCCGGCAAACATTTCATTGTTGCATTTTAGACTGTCAGAATGATATGCATGAATATTAATTGGGCATTTTCTAATATTAGAACCTTTCAACCCTTGGATTACGTTCTAGTATTCCATCAAAGAATTCTTTTGAAAATACTTGGTATGAGAGAGAAAAAAAACAACCTGACCTCAGCCTCAACAATATAAGTTTCCATCTTCTGGCTGAAAAGGCACGCAAGATTTTTTTTTTCCTTCTAAAATCATATGCATATGAAAAAACAATAATTTAGGGCTCTAGTGAATGTTGTAACTTTTGGTCAAATATCTAGAAACATATGGATCAAGCCATATTTTTAAGGAGAACAAAGGGTAGAGCAATAAGTGCCAGTCCTGAATTACGTTAAGCAGTTCAAAATAAGACTCTTCTCAATATCGAGGGCCGTCACAAAGTGAATGCATCACACACATCCTATTTGGAAGCCTCAAAATAGGGCTCTAGTATAGAATAGGTTTCATGTTGTCCTTCTGCTTGTGGTCATCTTCAGAGCAGTAGTTTTTTCATACTTCCTCCCACTAAAAAACATTTAGCAGTTATAGCTTGCTTTTTTCTTATCCTGTTTCTGTAAGTAGCCTTTGTCATCACATGTAGGAAGGGAAGAAAAAGCACCAAGAAAATAATTTTGTGTCGAATTTTCTGTCCATCCCTATCAAAATTAGTTTGGCTTTTATAAATAATTCGTGTTATTTAATCAGATTTAATTTTAGAATAAAGTTATCAAAATGTATTTAGAAAATCAGACTTTGAAAACAGTAATTTTTAAAGTAGGCTTTGGATAATAAAAATGGGAAAAATGATTCTCTTTAACAGCAGAGAAATTGCACCTCTTAAGCAGCTGGAAACCTAGGATGACGTATTGGGAATCATGCGCGTCTGAAGAACAGTTTGATGTGGAGGCCAAAATAATAGCCAGTCTGAAGGTTACAGGAATACATTTTATGAAAAAAATATGTTGAGAAATAACCCCCAACTTGCATACATTTTTTTATGGGATAAAAACCAATATTTATTCATCATGTTGATCGAAGTGAAAGATTTGGACCAAGGATTTGGAAAAAAAAAGGTGCAAATTTAGAATTGAGCTCCTCAATACACAGCTTGGAGGAAAAACTTTAAGAACCATATTCCTGGAAAATATGGATTTCCATTAAAAATCAAAATGCTTCACATTTTGCTAATTTCTCACCAAAATTTCATTTTAAGAAGAAATTTTGTTTGGGAGGAGGAGGGAGGTTTTGATAATATTAAAAAAAAATTAAAGGACTGAAAACTTCTGATATATTTTACAAATGGTCTTTCATTTTTATTATGTTATAATGCAAAGTAAAAACAAAGTTGAAATTGGAATGACGTTATCCCATTGAAAACAATGTTTTAATGAGCCCCAAACATATCTATCCTTTTCAGATTTTCCCTGAAGGCAAATTTAGGAAACTTTCAGGCACCATTCTTATTTGAGCTAAGTCTTCTTTCTTAAATTTGAAACACTTTACAGAACTGAGTTCATACCCAGGACTCCTAAATTGTATATAGACCTTTGTGGGTGCTCTGTCCCAAAGAATGCTGTATGTTCAGCTTTCCCCATTGAGCCCAGTGGAATTGCTTGTATAGATAAGCATTTGCAGAATCAGGAAATGACTGCTTTTTCCTTTGTTCAGAAAGATACTTTGATAATGAAATCTATTTTGAATGTTTGTTTTTTAACTTCTCCAAATAGTCATTTGTTCCTAATGTTTACCTTGAGGAAGGCTGATGATTAATTTATTTCAAATTCCCTTTTTTTCTAATATGGTTAATTTTGAGCCTTGAAATAATTTGATGTGATATTTCCATCTGCCACTTTACCCAAAGCTTGTTGAGAATGGTAAAACAAATGGTTTAATGCTACAAACAGAGTGCAAGTGAGCAGATTCCTTTAAGATTATATCTTTGAATTTCCTCTCATCAATATTAGCGTAAACCTAGAGCCAACATAGTTTATACCAATAAGACTCCAATAAGCAAATGGAGTTGTTTAACCCATCAAGCATCACAAGGTTTTAGTCATTTAAGGTTTCTGATTTCAGTGCTGAGGACAAGGGGACTCTAAGAAATCCCTAAGAAAAAGGGCATCAGGAGAAATGCCTTCTGTTTGTGAAGTCTGCCAGTAGTGGGAGGCTTCATTGTGAATAACATGAAAGTAAGAGTAAGCAAGCACCATTAGGGAGACATTAGAAAGGAGCAGAGTTTGGCATGAAGACTATCAGCATATAGATCCCTGAAGACCAGGCAGAATAGCTTTGCTGTCACGCTGAAAACTGCAACTGTTTAAGGCTCATTAGCTGTAGTACAGAGTTACCTGAGTTTCTCTACCTGTCTGGGTGGGAGTTAGGGAATGGGAGATACAGTGAGCGAAAATGGGGACCTAGTTTTCGATTTTTTTCAGGTAAACCTAAGACACAAGCCAAAGCTTTTGGAGGAAACCTGGACTGAGGATGGTTTTGTTTGGCTGGCTGGTTGGTTGGGGTTTTTTTGTTATATGATTACCAGGTAAGGAAAACTTCAAAAAGGGGATACATTTTAGACAATAATCGTCTGTGTGGGCATACTGTATTGAGAGAGGAATGTGAGGACTCTGCCTGTTCTTCAGCCTACTTTATAATTTGCCTTTAAACCAGTGCATGCTAGGAAAGTCGCAGGAAGTGACCTGGACAGGGATTACATAATAAGAATCTGAATGGTCCTTCCCACAGGAGGAAGTGAAGTTTCCTAAATATTGGTCTTTGAGAGAGAGAGAGAGAGAGAGAGAGAGAGCACCTGTAAATGACTTCTAGATTTTTTGCTTATATCTGTCAGAAACTGTATTTTTGAACAGTTCTAATACATCCTTGGTTTAAAAAAAAAATTCCCTACATAATCAGTTAGTCAAAGGCCTGTGTAAATGCTTGTTGTCTCTCTGAATATCAGTTTAGTTTTGCCTGAAAGCTAGACTCGAGCAACTTTGAATTGTATAATACATGAATGGGAAATGTAGCATGAGAAGGACTTCTTCCCATAGATTTTTTTATTCCTCTTGATAACATAGTTTTAAGCTTTCTGCCTGGATTGTGCATCTTTGTCCCAAAGGTAATCTAAACTGAGAAAATCCATAGTGGGCAGCATGGTATTTTCTATAAAATGTAACCTTGGAAGGTAACAAATGGTAACTGAGATATGGAAGATGTTCTGCTAAATATCACACCTTGGCAAATGGCTTAAACATGTCTCTTGGCACTGAAGGTGTCATGGAGCAGAACCTGTTAGTCCTCTAATGATATTCATAAGTGATCATTGTTTAGTGATAAATATAAGGAATTCTGTACCGGTTGGAGGGCACCTCTCAGACAGCAACATAGCTCGTCATTATGGCGATGTAGTGTCAGCAGGCATAAACCATGATGTCGATGTTTTGTCGCCGTAGTGACAAGATACCTCATTATAGCACATCGCTATGGCAATGTAGCATCTAAAAATAACCGTGCTCTGCCAGGATGGTGCAGTAACAACTGTTACTGCGCCATCATTTAGTACTTCCTTTTGTGTTTAGTATTGAAATTTTGTGTTACAGATTTGAACCTGCTTCCAATCAATTGTATCTTTTTATGTGTAATTTCTGTCCCTAGCTCAAGTGTCTGCATGTACCTCAGTTTGGTCACCTCTGCCCTAGAGTAATAGTAGGCCGCCCAGAAACGCTCTTTAAGATAGAGGATTTGAATAGTTGTTTTCACTAAAGAGGGTAGATACCTTTTTCAAAAGTTGAATAGTTGCTTCTGCTTTAATCAATACAACTGTATGGTAAAGTTTCCTAAATACTAGTTTTTGTGTGCGCGCATGCGCGCGCGCACTTGAAAACCTGCAAATGACTTTCAGAGTTGTTGCTTTTACTTCTCAGAAACTTTTACTGTAACCCTTGTTCAGGCCAGTGTTTCTTTTAATTTATAATAGAAATTTATATTTTAATATTAATATTCTTATTCTCTACCTACATTATAGTGAATGAAAATGTCTCCAAGTTTAGGAAACACTTTGGCAAATGTCAATATTGTGCTTTCACTTTGTTTGAAACCCCCCACCAGGTCAAGTTTATAAATCAGAGGATACAGTAGGCTTTCTGCATGACGTATTTTCTCCTTTACTGTATCTAATTATTTGCAGTTAGTAAGTTAAGACTGTTGGCCTTTCACCTTTGGCATGGAAATAATCTTAGGTGTTCGGTTAAACTAGACATTGCTTTTTAATTCCCTTGTTTTGCTAGGAACAGAAGGACTTTATTTCTTCAGATCATCCTCCAAACAAAAAAAGAAAGGTAGCAACTGTATCAGAACTGGTTCACTGAATGGTTGTTTTTTTTGGTTTTGGTTTTTTGGGAGGGGAGAGGGGAATGTGTGTGGGTTTTTTTTTTAACACTTTTAAATAAGTAATATGCTGCAAAACAAAAATATTAGTAACAGTTAAAATGAGTGAAGGAACTTTTTGTACTGGGATTTCTAATAATGAAATTACTGCAGTAGATGGGAATGATTTATGAAAAATCTGAGCCCAATTCTAAATTTGGTACTCACCAGTGTTCTGGTATTTGGTTGATTGTACTGCAGACTAATCTCATAAAAACAAGTTGGATAATTGCTGTAAGATTGCCCATGTGTAGCTGTATTCCAGCAAACCACTAGCTTTTTTGGGAGAAGGCTTGCAGTCCTTAAAGGGTGCTCTGACAGCTTCATTTCCATTTCTGAGGCTATAAGCAGATATAACCAAATAAAGTAGGTTGGCTGTGCCAGGTTGATCCACTTCATTGGGCAACATAGAAACCATCTATTTTCTTGCAGGATTGGGCCTCTGCTACTCCCAGGGCTTCAGAACCCTGGGTTCCCTGCTTGCAGATGTATAGCCCAGGAATAGTCTGGCAGGGGATTCCCTGGGTGCATGTATGTGCTGCTGTGCCCAACTTGAGCCATACCTCTGCAAATGTTAATTCCAGGGGCCACAAAGGATTGGGCCCCTGAAGCCCTAGAAGCACCTACTGCTCTGGACTGCTTGTGCTCTCCCACCATAAAGCAAACAGATGTATGACACAAAAGAGCGGCACAATTTTATATCATCTGTCACAGCCACAAATTTTGGGCATTTGTGACGCAACAAGGATCAGGGACATCTGTTTGCTTGGCCCTTATGTCGCCATAAAAAATTATTGCTGCCAAAGAGGATGTCTGTTTCCAGCCTGAGATGCACAAAGCAGCAAGGAAATTATGGACCTGCAAAGCATCAAGGAGCTCCTACAGAGCAATTTCCCAGTAAAATTGTGAAAGCTAAGGATGCTTACTTTTTGTTAAACCCCTGTAGTCTATCTGGCTTGAAATATCTGTGTAAAGAACACTGTTTGGGAAAGTCTTTTGTTGTGCATTGATCTAGGACCTCAGCGGGTGTGTTGCTCCTGATGGTTTATAATGCCCTCTCAAGGTATTTGTATAGCTTTATAGATCCTAAGATTTTCTAGAATACTACCTTAATGAGGATCAGGCTTTATTTTAATTGAGCTGAAGTGAGTATTTTGAAGTAATTGTATTTCAGTATTTTAGTATAATAGCACCCTTAATTTCACAAACAATCCAGTTGTGTTTTCTGCTGAAACTGACTAAATATCCGCCTTTCTTAGCTCTCAGCTAAATTAATCAAAATGCACATGTATTTTGCCTTTTAGCAAAAAAATGAATTCCATTTTTCATCCATTACACAAAATGAAACCCAGTTGTGGGGGAGAGGAGGGAGCAATTTGCTTAAAGCGAAAGTTAATTCTTGCAAACCTGACACAGTCAGGTCTCCTGTTGATTTCAGTGGGAACTTTACCTGGTGAGGGACTGTAAGATTCAGCCTTTCAGCACTTGTGATGAAAGGCTCCAAGTAATGTATTCGGAATTTTTTCCCAATGTTAAACTAATATGAGAAGCTTTTTCATTAATTGTTTCATAAGGTTTTTCCACTGGCTTGCAATGAAGTCAAAATGATATTTCTGATTTTGCAGCATTTATATAGTGTTCAGAAGAGTGATGCTTCTGTTAGAATACTTTAATATGGCTGTTCCTTATCCTGTCATCTTTGTGTATGTATGTGTGGGTTTTTTTAACTTTCTGAGCTTATTTCTCCATTTAAATAATTCTGAAGAAATAGAGGTGAAGCTGATTTGCCTGTTTCAAAAAAGTCTCTCCAATATTCAGTTTCCAGTATTCACAAGACTAAAAGTATTTCCTCCTAATTCCTGGGACATTTTAACTTTTGAGTTCTGCATAGCAAGACATGCATCTGCTTCAGAGCACACCGATTCACATACAAAAAGCCTTAAACCGGTTTTGCTATGATTGCTAAGTAGAAAGCCAGCAATTAATAACTGGATTACAAAACAATGTTTTTTCAAACGGTATTTAAATCTCTACTGTCTGGCTGTATCCTGGTGTGTTGTGATGTGACTAGCTTTTGTTTTTATCACCTGGTTTCCACTTGGTATTGTTGAGGTGGATATATACTTTGTGTAGTGCTACAGCAAGGTGAAGGTTTTTCCTCTGGAGTTAATACTTACCAGCTTTTCATTCACTTCATTTATGTTTCATGGATACTTGACTAATGTCATACTTTTAAACGCTATAAGCTCTTGAGCAATCTGGAAGCTGGTGAATTAAGAGTCTCTTCTTTTTTTCAGAGCAAAGAAAGAATTATGCTCGGGACAGTGCCAGCAGCGTATCTGAAACGTCACAGTATCATGTGGAGGTAAAAAAAAAAAAAAAAAAAAAAAGCAAAAAAAATTATAATTACAAAAATATCTCGTCATAAAAAAAAAAAAAAAAAAGAATAAAATACAAGCTCATGTATATTCATCTTCCAATGAAGTTCTCCATAATATGCAACGATTTTTCCCCAAAGTTCTGCATATAAATCTGGAGAGAGAGAAATCATCTATAATGTGTCGTGTCACTTTCAAAATAAGATGCATTTAAATGTATATGCAGTCTGGCAGTCGTATCACGTTGGGCTGTAGTTGTGTCAGATTCCATAAGCTGAGCAGAGTTAAACTAGTCACTATGGGCATTTATATTCATCCCTTTGGGTCCCACAATGTGCTGGAGATCCACTGCTTTGGAGTGGACTCGATTAATCGAGTCTACTCTGCAAGCGATCGGAAACGCACTGCATTGCGCTGCACTCTGTGCAGTTGTATAAGCAGCAAAATGTGCATCAGTGCTGAGAAAATGTTGGCAGTGCACTTTTGAATTAAAGCACCTTTGAAGTGTTTTATTTCAAAAGCTCGCCACTGCCATTTTCTCAGCCCTGACACATTTTGCTGCGTATACAACTGCAAGTGTCACAGTGTTGGGCGCTTTTCAAAGCGCCTGGCGCTGGGGTGCTTGCACATGTAAAAATGCTGCATGTGAAGGGCTCTGCAAAATGCAAGTACATCAGGAAGTGTTGTTCATAATTCAGTAGGTGATGATGCTCTTCTGTTTTTGAACCTGCCTTCCACTAGTGCTGAGGGGTAGAGTTGAGAAAGTATGCACTTTTGGAACCTCATAATGGATGTTGTCTAAAATGGAGGCTTTGGCTCTTCATAACCATACAGGATCCTAGAGCTGTCATCAGGAAAGCAGGGGTGTTAACCGTAAGACCATGACTAGATTCCAGTGTAATTAATTACATTTTGCTTAACTGCCTGCTAGTTGGAACTGCAGAATATATTGCTTAATTCCTGTCTTAAACTCTTCTGCAGAGTCTTAAACTCTACTTTTATATTGTTGTCATTTTTCTACTTAACAGGTAGGTCAAATTAAATTATATAGGGAATTAAGTCATAGATGATTCTATATATTATTTTTTAAAGGACTTTATAATCCACTGAACAATAAAGCCATCTAAAATAGAACGCATCATATTATAGCCTTAATTTGACCTGGTAGGGAAAAAATCATCAGGCAACTAAACATCCTTGTAATAGACTTATAAAGCGTGGTCCTGCAAATGCTACATGTTTACAGTTCCTCGTTGTTCAGCTTTAAATTCAGACACTGTGGAAACTGGTTCATGTGTCATCGTTCTCCAGCCCTGTCTTGCATCTGTTCCTGTAATACTCAGCTTGCAAGGAAATGCTTAAATGCTTTTGACTGCCTATGTGTTTTTTGGGTTTTTTTTGCCTCATTTAATTTCTAAAATGGCGTGTTGGTACTCTGTTGACATAAATATTAAAATTGTATTTGTTGTGAAAAACATTCTAAGGTGAACAGTCAGAATCTAATTGCTAAATTCCATTTTACCTTTTTAATTTTTTTAATTCAGTTTCTTTTTCATCTCTGTAATAATGTTATTTGCTCATATGCAGTTGTATCTGCTCTTTTGCTTATACAGTTAAGTATGGCAATAGTCTGCATTTGCTGGAAGCCCACTTAATTCCTTTTAAAAAAAATCACGTGATTTAAAAGCTAGATCTATACAGGCTTAGCCGTAAATACAATTCAGATTGATGAGTAGTTTTGAGCATTTGGATCAGAATGTAAAACTGGTATGTTTATGGCAACCTTGAGTTGTTGATGTTTTTAAGCCACAGAAGGATGATCAGTCCAAGCTCCCATATCAACATATAAAGCCAAAGTTGCATCTCAGATTCTGTAGGGCGCTGAAGTATGCCTTCAGTAATAATGTAGACACACCTTGGAATAAGTTTTTCAGGGCTCTTCTAGGTCTGTCTTCTTCAAGTTCTGCATCATTTTTAAGATTAGAGGCGGGGTTAGATTCCATTTTAACAAATATTATTATTATTAGAATGGCTGGATTCTGGTTTCAAATCCTGCCTCTTCTATCATCTCGCTTGCTTAAATTGTTCTATGTAGAAGACATCAATAATCCCCCTTCTTTTCAATCTCCCTAGCTAGCTTTTCTTTCCCGCACTTCTGCACTTTCCATAACGGGACACTATGTAAAGACAATGAAAGACTCTTCCCCCACCCCCCCCCCCCCCCCCCTCCAAGGTCCAGGTTTTCCAGAGGTTCCGAGATATTGCCAGGCAGAATCTTTGCAGTGGCCAGGGCTACTTGCATCACCCCTCTGTATAGTCTTTGGAAATTAGATTGGGGAGAGAAAGGTATTTACCGCTGGATCTCAATAATAAATGGCAAACCTCTTTGACTAGACTAGGGACTGAACAGGTTCCTGCAGCTGTTTTAGCTGGATGTAGACTTTCTATTTCAAGGACTAAAAGATGTTGTCCAGCCTGTCTAGGAATGTTGGAAGACACTATCCATTATGTTTTAGAATGTCCTTTATATAATGACATAAGGAGAAAGTATTTATCACCATTCTTGCAGAAATTGACATACTTCTCAAACAGAGAGAAATTAATATGGCTCCTCCCGCAAACAGATCCATATTTAGTAAACCGTCTTGCAATTTTTGCTTATAAGGCTGAAGCCATCAGAGCTAAACATCCTTTTTTGTTGATATGACCAATAAACTTTATTACTATTTGTTTTTTACTGTGTTAATTGTGGACCTATGCACAACATTTTTATAGATTTATGATCTGATTTATCACCATATTTGTACTTGATTATGTTAATTCTTGGAGTAGGAATAACGTTTTTAGAATGGTTGGCCCTAGTTTATTATTCTATTTGCATTTTTGTTTAAATGTATATTATGGTTGTATGTCTGTTTTGTTGTTTTTGGGAGCATGGCTTTCACCCAGATTCCTTAATAAATTGAATTGAAATTGAATTGATGCTTTTAAGTATCAGAATCATAATTGCAGTGAAGCTGAATGGGGAAATGGCAATAAGATAGCATTTCCTTTTTAACTGGATGATTTAAAATTAAAATGTAGTCCAAGCTGGAAGTGAACAAATACACTTACAGTATTAACATGTATTTTGTGGCTTCTGTGAAACAAGTGAGTGGTCTATCCAGAAAATATTTCTGTCAGAAACAAGTACAGATCATCATTACCCTCAGCGTGCTAGTTGGCAGCTTGAGCAGTGATCTGAGGGCCCTCTTCATCAGGGCTGAGGAAAATTGACAGGGGGTTATAGGGCAGCCTCCCCTGCTGCTAGCTGGGCCCTCATTCTCCAGCACTGCTGGGCTGTCACTTCCTGAAAGCTAAATTAATGTTCCGAAATTTAATCCCAGTTGTGATTCCTGAAAAATGTTAGACTATCCCAGTGTAGTCTGCCTGCTAACAAAATGATAGAGGATGACAACTCATGACTTTGAGTAGTCGGTTGATTTGTTCATGTGATGTTATGGTACATGTCATATTATAAAGAAACTCCATTTTAAATTCATTTCTTGTATTTCTATTTCAAGGCAGCATAAATATTGAGAATACTTTGTCTTGGGAAATGATATGTGCATTTTTTTTAAATTTTTTTTGCCCCTCATGTCTCAATTGTCAGCACTTGACCACTTTTGTTTTGGACCGAAAAGAGGCTATGATTACGGTAGATGATGGAATAAGAAAGCTGAAATTGCTAGATGCCAAGGGCAAAGTGTGGACTCAAGATATGATTCTTCAAGTGGATGACAAAGCTGTCAGTTTGGTGGATTTAGAATCAAAGGTAAGAGCTGCAAGTGGCAGCCCACTTTTTCTAAGAAGGAAAAGAAAAGATAGCAGCAGTAAAAATGGCATGTGTAAGTTCGGGGATTTTACTTACTGCTTTGTAACTTCAACTCTGTATGTAACCAGAGTAGATTTTTACAGATAAAGAGATGGAATTTTTTTATATGGCATAGTTTTGGGAGACCAAAATGCAGTTTTTTTTTCTTCATGCAGAATGAACTTGAGAATTTTCCTTTGAACACAATTCAGCATTGCCAAGCCGTGATGAATGCATGCAATTACAATTCCATTCTTGCGTTAGTATGCAAGGAACCAACCCAAAACAAGCCAGATCTTCATCTTTTCCAATGTGATGAAGTTAAGGTAAGGCAAGAAGAGACCCACTTCAGATTATTTTGACTCTTATGATTTTCTGAACTGCTAAGGACAAGAGGAAAAGTCAGAGATATTTCCTCCAAAAAATTGTTTGTTCATTTATTCAATTGACTGTTTCAGCTGTAATGCATTTGATACTAATTCTTCATAGTATCATTCCAGTTCTTCGTAGTAATGCATTTATAATTCTAATTCTTTTATGTCTATTTTGCAAGAGTAATGGCATCTTAGTCACTTGAAACCTTGATAAAACAGATATATGCAATTTGCAAAGATTGCAAGATTTAAGATTTAGTTTAGCTTGCAGTCTACTGAGGATCTATTGGGTATGCATGTAGTATGCAACTTATGAGGGAGGAGATATAAGATAATTTAAGAGCAAAGTGAAAATGTTTAGAGCCTGATGAGAAATCCATCTGTTTTTAAATCTATTTTTCTTCTTATCTGCTGTTTTGTCATTGAGCAATTAAATCTCTTCTACAGGCATGCTAATATAATGCACTGAACACATACTCTGTGGAAAATCGAATTGTTTAGCGGTCAGCCAAACTTCTGGTCACCCAAAGGTGCACAAGTTAACAAACTATTCCGAAAATAACCAAGTACTAAGTGACTGCACAGTAACCAGCATTACTGCGCAGTAGCATCCCCACACAGTTTTTTTTCTGATGCTACTGCACAGTAGTGTTGTGTCATGGTTAGTGTCCCCCAACACTACTGTGCAGTAGGGTTTCATGTAGATGTGGCCAGTGAGTAATAGTGTTTTCTGCTCAAAACTAGTAGGGGATAAGGAAGTAAGGGGACTATTATTCAGTAAAAATAACAGAACTGGAAAAAGAAGACAATTTTTTTGCTTCAAATTAAAGATTTTCTTTCAAAATTTTAGAGTAAAAATACTCCTTGACAATACTACTTTATTTCTAGGTTGTGAGTCTTAATTTCTGCTTATGAAGTTGTATAATTTGTACTGCTGCTTCAAATCCTGATAAATAACTTTTATGGGGGTTTTTTAATGGTTTTTCACAGTAAGTTATAGTCATGCTATTAGATCTCTTTTTTACTTTAATCATGTAGTACAGCTTCTTGCAATGAAATGTTTGGAATTGGTCCAGGGATAATGATGTGAAGTCTGCTGGTTAATTCTATGACTAATCACAGAACATTTTTAATTCTTTGGCACTTTGGGAACCTTGGGATAATTTCATGTTGTAGTCCGCTAGAAGATTATAATTGGGGATACGAAGCTCAAGTCTCTGCTTGGAATCAGGCAGGTCTTAAACCTAGCTCACCACATCCCAAATAAATATTCTCACACTAGAGTCCAGTAAGCTTAACTCTATAGCTAAGAGGCACTTCCTTCACATACTGGAGACCTAGGTTCAGATTTCCACCCTGAATCAAGCAATCTGTTATTTCTTCTGTCCTAGATAAGTCTCAGTCTTGGATGGGTGTCACACTCAAATTTTGATTAGAAATTATATCCTGGAATATCCAACTCTGTTTATGTGCACTCAATGTTCAGATAATGGTAAAGCCAATGCATTCCTTCTCCTCTTCATTTTTTTAACTTTGTCTTTGCAGTCTCTTCCTTCAAACAACAAACAAACCTTCCTCCTTTCCCCTTCTGCTTTTTAATCAATCCAATGCAAATACTATCAACCCAGTTCATTTTGTATATAATTTTAAATGCTTGGAAACATAGAAGAATGTCACAAAATCAAAGGAAACACTTACGATGAAATATAAAATCAGTAACTTCTGCTTCTGTCAAATGACTGACATGCTCCCCCACTCAACTACCTATCCATTCCTTACCATAAGTAGTTCTGGGTATCGCTGGGCCTCACATAGTGACCTGGAGACCAGTGAATTTGGGATTTGGCAAATTGAGGCTGAAATTGAATCTTACAGTTGAAGGCACATCCTAAATCTTAAAGGAAACCATGACCTATTTAATGCAAAGACTATTAAATGTATTATGTGTTTCTGGATTTTATTATGAATCCTCCTTTTGGAGGTAGAGTACAGTGTGCTGCTACATAGGCAGCAGAGGGCAAGAAATGAATCTTTTTGCAAGCCAAGAGAAATTAGGGAGTGTCGCTTAAGATCGACAAATGTTCTCTATCATTAAGAAGTTACGTTTCTGCTCTTTAATGTTGCTGCTATCTATTTAGTAGTGTATAATGCCTTTCACTAACTCACTGAAATGCTTGATAAACTTTAACATATCACGATGAAAAAAATACTGCACAAGAAATCGTTGTTGACTTGAGATAATTACAGCTGTTTAGGAAAGTTTCAGCTCTGAAATACGTGCACATCAAATGATATTCTTTGGGATTGGAACACTGACAGAATGTCAGCACCAAGGCAACAGCATTGTGTTGCTTCCGTCTTTAATTGAAATTAGTTCATCCCTACGGTTTTTTAAGGAAGTAATTCATATAAGTGAACCAAGGATATAAATATGTTTCAGAAACAAGCTGCAGATTTATTTAATCCTGCCTGTTTATCTTATTTAATGAATCGTGTGTCTTATAGTAAGGTAACATCCACTTCTGTTATTGCAGGCTAGCCTTATTCATGAAGACATTGAAAGTGCAATCAGTGACAGCAAAAGTGGGAAACAAAAGAAGAGACTTGAAACACTCAGGTAAAGTCCAACTTCTTGGGAATATCTGGAACTGTCTAGAAATAGTTATTCAAAATTTTCCTTTCCCTTTCTCTTACCCCACTTCCCACTTCTATTGTTCTTTACTAGTTTGAAATAATCAGGAATAAATCAGGTGCAGCAGCCTGACTTCTTTCTGTCTCTGATTTAGCAACCGGTGGTCAGAATGTCCTCCTCCTTCCTCCTAGGCATCTAGCTCAACTTGAAGATTACCACTACTCCCTCTAGTGGGTGAGGTGGAAAAGACTGGGGGGCAGGGCGGGGAGCAGAGTGTATTGGGTTCAGCCAAGAGTAACACAGAAGTAAGAGGTAACCCATGGGGGTTAAGAAATAACTGAGATTTTCAAAGGTATAAATGTGATTCGGTGGAAGTTTGTCCTTTGAGTTTTTGAAAATCTCTATCAAAGATGCTTCCCTTTTCAGAGAAGTTGTCCTCTGTAGATCCCAAAGCACTGTACAAAGATTACTAAGGATAAATTTCACTATTCCACAAACTGAGGGGAGGAGAGAGGAAGTAAATTAACTAGAGAAGTTAATGATCTGGTCAATGGGTGAGCAGCACATATTCGAAGTTTCAACGACATTTATCCTACAAGTACATAAGCTTAAAGTTAAGTGGATAGATTAGTGCTTGCAGGACTGGGGCTGAAAACTAGCATTTGCAAACAAGTAGAACAAATGAAGAGATAACATAGAAGGACCGGAACACACTGGAAATGGTAGGAAGTTGAAGTAGTGGTATTTTATTTTGAAAAATACAAATCCATGTATCTGAAGAATACATCTGAAATGTGTTGCTGTATTATAAAACCCAAAAACTGTAAGGATGTAAGAGGTTGAAGGTCAAAAGTCCATAACAGATCAGAGCTTGCAATTCACTATGGCATCGTGTTGCACTTAAAAACTGAATTTCTAACCTAGTGCTTTCTGAATTGACACATTTGGTTGATGAAGAATAGCAGAAAGGCTTGCTTCAGCAACTACCAACAAATTACAAAACTAAATGACAGAAAATACTCTTT